TACAAGGGAAGATAATAAACATGAGGCAGAAGCAGAGAGAAAGTGAAAGAAACATGGACAAAGGAGTGGGAAACAGTAAAACATGAGTGAAGGAATGAAGAGGCGCATGGCCATTTGGAAAGGCAGAGACATGAACGAATGCCAGGCAAAGGCTCCCCGAGGACTGAGATGGGGCATTTCGTTGTGGAACTTGGCATAAGAACCCTCCTGTCCCTGGCCCTTGTTATGAAGAGTTCTAAATTCCTGGGCTCGTCCATTCTCCTGCATCCCTGTGATCTGCTCATCTCACCGCCACCAGCCATCACCTCTGCCTCCACCCTGATGCAGACCAACGCTGCCCCCTGTTTTCCACTTGCTGTACCCCACAGCATCTTAGTGACTCAAGTCCACAGGGCTTTTCCATTTTGAGCCAAACTGTTTGGAGTGCAAAAGCATCCTAATGTCAGCCAGTCTGTGCAATAACCAGGTATAGTTTTACAGTCACTCCCCCCCACCCCGCCCGACTGTAACTGCACTTTCATATATCTCTGGCTGAGACAGGCAATTTTCTTTCAAAGATTGTTTTTTCTGGAGCCTGTGATTTCTACTCTTGCCTCCAACCTCTGGGATATTAAAACAGGGTCAGTGGCTCTTGGCAGGCTGACCGATTTGTGGTCACTCCCCGGCACCCTGTTCACCCCCTGTTGCCATGTCCCTAATCTTGTCATCCCTCAGCTTCTGCACCCCATGTAGTCAAGATGGAGGAGAATGGCTTCAGTGGTGAAAGCTGTCTAGAGAGCCCCCCTCTCCAGCCTCCATACGGAGAGGACTTGTATCTAACCTTATAAGTGGAGCTTCGACGGGATAGGGTAGGGAACATGAAGGGGATTCACCTTTTACACCTCTCCTGTCCCCCCTCAGTCCCTGCTTTGTTTTGTTCTGAGGTGGAGATGTCAATTCCTTTCCATGAAAGTCCTGTTTAGTTTCCAAGGGCAACATTTTTGAAGAAATGGATGAGTAGAAATAATATTCAACATTAAGAAAATTTCTGTGCTAGAAATTTGAGAGAGGTGGGGAAGCAAATATAATCCTTTTTTTTTTTTTCCTGAAAACTTTGGAGAATGGCGGAATTCTTATATACTGTAGATTAAGGGCTGGCTTAGAAGAGGTCTGGCATTATGGGAAGGATTATGGTGACCTTTAGATTCCTAATTCCCTAAAGAGAGTTTCTGATTCTGCCCTTGCTGCCAAAGGCATGTCCTTTCATTGTTTGTTCGTGTGGTATCTTCTAACCCGCAGCCTTACCCCCATCTCATCCCTAGCTCAGGGAGCTGGGACATATATCTGCCTTTGGGGCTATCCTATTTGGTATTTCTCTGTTCCTTACCTTGGCTCATGACTTGAAGCAAAACCCTGCCTGAGATCTAACTCTTGTTCCTCTTGCCTTGCTAACAGATCGAATCCTCTTGAAAAACAACACGATACAACACATTCCCCGTCCTCATTCATACCATCCCTTGTTTTTATTAAATAAAAGTAAGTGGAGCTATAAGATGTGACTGGCCTGGATCCCGGCTTCATAAAACAAAACTAACACCCTCTTTATCAAGGGGCTAAGGCATCCAGAGAAGATTTCTTAGGCCATTTTGCTGTCACGTAAATGGGAATCAATATTCAATAAGCCCTTGATGCACTACACTAGCGGTTCACTTAATACCGGCTTCCAGTACAGTAAGTGGCGTTGATATAGGGAGGGCTTGTTTGTAAAATAACATTGCTGCCTTCACCTCTGGGATATTGGATCTGGCTTCTCTAGGCATGAAGATTCAAGATGCTGAGGATACAGAAAGTCGTTGTGCTAATCCCACTTTCCCAGGATGTCTAGCTTGAAAAAGAGAACAGATTCTATGCTTTTATTAAAACCAAATATTGTAGTCTCGGAGATTCCAAAGGTATTAAACCCATCATTCCTATTAGGAAGTTTTCCACAGTGCCTGGCCTTATTGCCTTCTCTTTCAATAAATGAGTCAAATTGAAAACCAATTGAAGGATAGAATTTATTCTACCATTAATATTATAAGAAAAGCTCTTCCTGTGCCCTCAGTGCTTGCTGTGGTTAGAAATAATAGCTTGTTTCTCTCAGCTCCTGTGCTTGCTATAAGGAAGATTGTTGGCTGCCTGGCCCCCTGGTGGATGGTTGGAGGGTCTGGCTTTCTGTGCATAGTAACCAAGAGTTTGGCAGGAGATGGACTATTTTAATATAGTCAATTATTTATTTTCCATCCTATGACATCTTTGCTGGGAATTTGTAACCTTAGGCTTGTTTCTGCCACACAACTCTAAGCAAGCATGTATTAAGGAAATATCATCTAATGCCTGCCTAAATATAATGGGCATATATTATACACAAACTTTATATGATCCATTTCAGAGCCAGATAGACTTTAAAAAATTTATCAGATAATCTTGGAATTTTTGTTTAGTGTGCTCCAGTGCTAATGTTTACACAATTTAGGAAATAATACGTTGGAAGGGATTTTTTTTTGGTTTTTTGAGTTTTTTTGTTTGTTTGTTTGTGTTTTGCATTGTAGTTGTGGCTGAATCTTATCCCATTTAGGGCATGGAAGCTGGGAGTAGGACTATCCTGTACTCATGTCTAGGGATTCAGTGGAGGAGACAGACCCACTGTGGTTTTTGTTTGTTTGTTTTTGTGGTAGTGGGGATTAAACTCAGGACCTTGTACATGCTAAGCAAGCACTATACCACTGAGCTACATCCTCAGCCCTGAGACTCACTGTTTGTAATGACACTATAACTATCCCCACAGAAGAGATGTCCACACTGGAGTCTCCTAGATTTTAGAAAGTGCCACTTCTGTTCACCCTGTTATGATAGTAAATCTAAAATAAGAGGCTGGTATTTGGCTTCTCTGCTTAGGCACAAATCATAGAGGAGAACAGACTACATGTTTGCTCATATCGATTGTTTAGAGAGGCGAGCTCTCTAAAGATATTGAGTAATGGGGGCATATTTTGAAAGAGAGACACAGATAAACTCCTGAATGTTTTCTCTTGTTTGGAGTTCCTCATTTGGCCCAGGCTGGTAGACTTAAGAAGAGAGCAGGGAGGAGTGCTGAGTTTGGAAGGAGCTAAGAATTCAGTGACCTGGGTTGGGTTTTTTATCATCAGTTCCTAGGGTTCTTAAAACGAAGGATACTTGTTAGCCTTCTTTTCCAAATTAGAGGAGAAGAGATAGGTTAAACGTGGAGGTGTTGAAGTTGTATTCAGCAAAGGAGGTCTTTACAGTCAGCACATGACTGGCTCACTTAGATCTGTACTGTCTTCTTCTCAAGACTTGTTTTCAGTTGCTCAGTGTCAGGTTCAAGGGCCAAGTGTGCCTCCGACTCTCTCACCTCATGAGCTTGCAGGCTGGTCCAGCTAACCAGATCAGAGTTCCCTTCCTCTTTCATGTGTATGCTGCTTTGAAGCACATACATAAACACCAAAAATAGAGAGAGGTGCTTTTCTTTGGCTGGAATTTGTCTTCACTATGAAACCTTCAAACAAGGTCCCTGTGTTAGTGAGATCTGCACAGAGGATGGGACCAGACTAAGAAGTTGAACAAAAGGGCAGCCTCCAGGGGACAGGACTCCTAGGGCTCTCAAATGACTCTCCTAGGCAAACAGGTCATGTTTTGAGGGTTTGAGCTTTCCTTAGTCTTTCAGGTAGCTGGGCTTTTCCCATCAAAGAGATATGTAGCCAAATGTTTTCTTGGAGAATTCTACCA